CAATTCTGCAGTAATGAGTATTGCTTCGATTAATGCACTGTATCACAAAAGATGGTGCTGGGATAAAACAGAAATTGTACGCCGAGCTGTGTGGCTCAGACGGAGAGCGGGTTGTCCATTCAGAAGTGTTCGAATTGCTCCCCGATGGCTGTCGATGTGTTAGTTTCTGTTTCAATGGGCTTTGCGTAGATAGGGAGAATGTGAGCATGTAGTGTAAGAACGCTTTTTTCTTTCGGATCGCGAAGACTAGAAATGTTACTAGAGTCGATACCGAGAATACAGATGAATTCTATGATTATCGATACTAATTCAATACAGCACTATCAGTATTAGTCCTACATGAATCTCATTTTTTACCTCCCTTGTTTAAATGTCTTAATGTCATCATCTGTGAATGTGAAAAGGTCAGAATTCCCACCACAGTCTGTGCGGTCCTGTCCTATAAGTTCTGTTTAAACTATCAGGCATTGACAGGACGCAGGTCAGGTCACACTGGTGTCAGGTCACACTGGTTTCAGGTCATTTTGAGACTGTTTGTGTATTGAGTAGACACTGCAAAAAACATGTCATCATTACGGACTAAGTTCCACACCTTTCACCCAAACCAATGACAAAGTGGTAATCACATGGAATGTAACAGTTTAGAGTTCTATGGGTGTGATGTACAGTCGACTTTGCATATTTGTAACACTGTTTCAAGACTCATCAACCAATTTTAAATATTGGACAAAGATAACCTAGTAGAATACAAAAGTGCCTTTTTAAACTGATGATTTTCAATTTTATTAGGAAAAATACTGTCAACCTAGAACTAGATGTACATGATAGCCATATCAACTAGAGCACGAATTGCACACTAAACGAGAAAACGTATGGGAGGGAGAGGGGAAGAGGTCAAACCATGATATCATGCTGAAATTTCTTTTATAGCAAATGTCTTCTTTGTCATACCTTGGGAATATTTGACACCATACTGAGTGCTTAAAAAAATGGTACAATCTCACAGAAGTCTACACTTTGTTTCAGTTTGATTTTGGATATATGTTGCTACTCGAACCCACCACCTTCACGTCCTTAGTAGAGACCCTTCGCGCAACCTACGAAGACTATCAGGTTACGGTGGAAAATGCGCTTATGAATGGTAACACCACGCAAGTCTGAGACCGGTGTGTATAATCACCTGTGGGGGGTGAAGCTTTTTTTCTAGGGTAGAACGCCGCAAATTTAGTGAAGACGTTGTGGAGTGATTAGGCGATAATCTTGTATCCGCGCTACACCCCATTGGGTCTTCATTACCTCGTGATGTAAAAGGTGTTCCCAGTGGGATAAGTCCACGTGGGCAGATGGCCGATTGTCCGTCCTCATCTACTATCAACCCTCCCAGTATCCCACTTGTGCATGCGAACATATCCCGTGCTTGAACCACCACCCACGAGTACGCCCGTAAACACCCCCCGGCAGACACTCCCGCCCTCGTCTTCCACAACTGTCTCCCGTCCCCTCCTTTCCTACCAACCGCCCCACAGTCCCCGCCCTATCCCCATCACGACTGTTTCACCATATCCTGCTTTGTACTTCTCACCTCCTCATCTCTGCTTTCTCTCAAACCTTCTCCCTCCTGCTTACTCTGTTGTATTCCCTAATCATCAATGACAACCTATTTTCGGCCTCACTCTTTTTTTTCTGCCCTGCTTGTCCTGTATTCTTCCGAAACTGTCTCTCTGTCTGTGAAACGGCAGAAGCATTCCCTGTCCCGCCTGCCCCACCACACGGACGTCTGCCTGTTTGTTCGACGCTCTGGGTCAACTTCAACCAAACCCCCTTCCTCACACCTGCACCCACCCGGCACTACACGTTCCTGTAGGCAACCCACAACACACCACCCCTCTTGTATCCCCATTCACCAACCCCTTGCACCCACCTTTAACCCGCAATGCCAATCCATTGCAAATTCCAACAGACCGCTCGCCACACGCTGCACGGATTTTCTGTCTGCCATTGCTGTGAATCTCATCCAACAATCACTGTCACAAACTGCAACACACGGTGTACACAACATCATCCATTTCTGCGTCGCAATCTCCAAAGTGATTTGTGTCATGCCACTTTCAGTGCAAACGCCTGTTGGGCTACTTTTACAATTTTTTGGGGCAATTCTAAAGCACAATGTTTTCGTTTTAAAAAACAAACTGGGGGCGAAGCTGGGTCAGAAAGCATCTTCCAAAACTGCAGCTCTTGTTGTGGTGTTCGCCAAGGTTGCTGAGTCAGTACGCTATGAAAAGTGCTCAAGAAGGAAAAGACAGCCTGGAGACAGGGTCATGGGGGGCCGAGGCTCATTGATGCACGTGGGGAGTGAAGGCTGGCCCGTGTGGTCCGATCCAACAGACGAGCTACTGTAGCTCAAACTGCTGAAACAGTTAATGCTGGTTCTGATAGAAAGCTGTCAGAACACACAGTGGATCACAGTTTGTTGGTATGAGGCTGCAGAACATTATGACCACCATTATATATATATATATATGTGTCTATATAAAAAAATATATTTTCTTGGCACCTTGTCGCATCATATTTTAGTGATCTTTAGAAGATGTACAAGGGGCATCTCACATACACAGCAACACTCCTCTGCAAAGCAAGGGGCAGAAATGACAAACCACATGACAATCTGTGATCAGCACCTCTTTGAAGAGCCATGAGCAGACTCTGAATTTGTGTTCCCCTTTACTGTTCTGGAGATAACGTTTACACTTTCCTGAAGAGTGCAAAAGTAATTTGGGGCTGTCTTTAGAAGAAAGAAAGAGTAAGAGAGAGAAAGAAAAAGAAAAAAAGAGATTGAGAGAGACAAGCACCTTCATGTAGGACATCACGTAGTGTGACTCTCTCCCTTGAGATGGCAATGTCTTTCACTTTAGCTTTGGCCTCCATTAGAGTAACACTCCTCAGATCATTCTTCTCTATGCGAAGAGATGGGTAACCTGTGAAAAAACAGACTTGTATTAAAGGAACACATGATACAAATGTAAACAGAACACTTTCAAAAGAGATTGACAGGTCTTTTAACCTGATTAACACCAGAAAACAGAGTCACATATCTTATTCAGAGAAAGGTTTCTCCTAAAATACACAGAATCCTCATTTGAATTCAAATAATTCCAACAATTACAAGAAACAGTCAGCAAGACATGTACAGTACCTTGAACATGTTGCATCAAAGCAACTTCATGCAAAGTCCTGTATTACAGCACTTCCATTACATAACCTCCCTATGTCATGAGCTGTCAGCTTACTGAGGTAGGAGTGAGTTTATATACAAAAACACACAAAGTTGTCCACAGCGTCTGCACACAGATGAACAAACAGCATAAACACGACTCCCTTATATCAACACATTGCATGTGTACACAACATGTCAGTGATGAGAGATAACACATTCTAGCCTCCTGTGTCTCAGGAGAACCTGCCAGGCTCAACTGTGTACAGTGGCTTAGACAGACTGTGGCTAAACCAGTGGATGAGTGGAGACAATGGAAAACTCACTGACAAACAACCTCCGGATAAAGTTGGAGCCAATGACAGTCAATCTGCCTCCAGCAGACAACAGCCTCTTCTTGTTCTTGTGAGCTACGTGTGATATTTTGCATAGAGTAGTGAATGTGATATATGAGAATGAAGCAGAGGAGTTGAGCTAAGGGTTTCATCTCAAAAACAGATCCCACCTGGGTTCAAAGACATTGCAACACAAATGATAAGGTTTTGATTTTAAATCTCTGCTGTGGCAAGTCAACTATATAGTCAGCAGTAACAGTACAGGTCAATGTCACCCCCTAGAGGTCAAACTAAGCATTTCTTTTATGTTCAACTGAATGAAAAACTAAGACTAGAGGGCAAAAGATAAAGTATAACAATTAAAAACACTACACAACCTGGCATTGACAGAAGCAACTGCACATATGTTAACTTTGTACAGTATATAACACATTTATGTCTATAGTGTCTGCTAATGTACTGTGCACTGTTAACACTAGCAAACCCCTGCAGTGGAAAAATGCACGTCAGTATAACAGCAAGAAACAGAGGTGCAAAGAGTAACACAATAGCACGTCATATTAACTTTTTACATTGCATGCTATATACTTATCTTTATAATATACTAGTTCTACAGTTAGTAGAAAGTCAAAATACTCAACATTTTTATAAAAGGCATGACAATACTTGTGATATTAGACATCACTCATACTGTAACTTTGGAATGGCACCAATTAAAGCAAACATTTAATTGTTATGTTTTTTTTTAAATTTGCTTCTTCACCACGATCTACCTTTAGTTTTAGATTTCCACTTCCATTTCCCTTGTGCATTGCATTTTGGGATATTTTAAAAATTAACATTTATTTAATCCACACACTGACCAAAGTACACTTCTTCTGTCACTTTTCCAGTCTGAAGACTTTACATACTCAAAACCTTGCTAGATGTGGGATCATTTTAGGTTATTTCACTGCGTCAGCATGTCAATGTCCTGGATATTTCCCTTGTTCTGAGGAATTATTGGTAACCGTAATCTTAAGTCACCAACATGATATGTTGTAGAGTTCAATCAGGAATTTGAGTTACACAAAACACAATCAAGGATGTGATCACAATAGCCGTTTCCTTTAACAATAAAAACTATTCGAATGTGGAAATAAACACATCTGAAAGACACTGTGTCTGTCATTTTTCTTAGACTGCTGAAGAATTAATGAGTATTTTAATTCATAATTTTTTTTTATTCATTGGTTAGTCTAGAAAATGTCTAGAAAATAGTAAAGTACCTAATCTGTTTGTACCCATTGTTT